TTTATGTCATCCATCTAATGATAACTTTTCTCTTCTAGCCGTTGCTGTCATAAAAGATACCTTTCCATTTGAGTATCTGACTTTTGGAAATCAAATGAGAGGTAATATTGAATATGAACTCTAACAGATTGAAAAGCAAAAACAAATTGAATATAAACCAGTGTATGATTCAACATCATTTAAGTAAAGATTGTTTTTAAAATGATTTCTTGTGATCTTTTTTTTTTCATTATAGAATTCCTGAAGAACATCGAAACAAAATAAAGGAATGGCTGGAGTATGATTTTCGCATGCGTACTGAAGGCAATATTACTCGATCAAGATGCTTATTCTTGATTGGACCAACTCAACATGGTATTTAAGTTAAATATTTCTAACCTATATTAGCCTGTTCACTACCGCTTCCTTCATATTGAAAAAAAAGTGAAACGCAAGAGAATCTTTTTTCGTTCTGCTGTATCAATAGACGCATATGGAACGAATATTAGATGAACAGCAGACACTTTTATGAGCGAAACAAAGCATTTGCGCATATCTAATCAACAGTAACAGGAAGAAGAGAGCACGATGCTTTTTGTTCTTCACTTTTTGATGTTCTTGCACGATGAAAGATATTGTTATTCTTCAATGGGTTAATCACACAAATTAAAGGGTTCTATCTTGTCACGGAAAAATGTAGATCAATACTGACAGTATTGTTGTATTCTAAGATGTTAGAGTTATTTCGAAAATTGATGGAAATAAAAAGGCTTTGTGCACTATTGGCTTATCGCAATAATTGCAATTGAGTGCAAAAAGCGACATCACTAAAGATTAGTTTGAAATGAATGAACGATGATATCTATGTATGGCATTCATCTGTTCTCTTCATGTTGACAATATCTGCGGCTGTTTTTTCAAAGATGAAAAGATAGACAACGCATGTTCATAATAAGATAGTTTACTATGAGAATTGTGTTTTTCTATCAGAAATGGCTATTAGAAAACTTCAAACTTCAATTCACTAATGATCATTACCATTAACAACAGGACAAATATCATAAAAAATGTTGCTGATAAAGACAAAAAATTCACATACTTTTGACACCTAAAACTTCACCTGAGGATCATCTAACTAACTTTTTTACTTATTGTTATTGACAATACAATTCAATAATTAGTTTCAAAAAAATGTGACGATCTAAACAGCTCGTAATCCATTATAAACTTACTTGGACCTCATAATTTCAAAAATCTGACAACGCCATTGTATTCCCCGACCCCGATTACCTTCGGTGAAACCTCTCTCTACAGATATTGTTTGAGGTTAGTGACGTTTATGCATCTGCTTTTCTATTGGACGAACGAACACATTTAACTCGTTTTTCGTAATACCCTCCTTTCAGTAGAGGGAATAAAACAGGATCTGATCAATAAGTATTGGAGTACTTTGAACTATTTTACAAGCAAATTTACTTTTGTTTACTCATTTATACATTGTTTAAACAAAAACTAATTTTTGATAGAAAGCTCTAATATTATTCCATTAAGAAAGAACCGTTAAATATAAGTCATTAAGAAATCTTAAAATTAAGACATTGCCTAGAAGTAATCAAAGATTAATTTCGAAGAATCGTGAATGTCATTTATTTTATGGTCGGTTCATTCAAATTAAAACACATCCTCTATTACCACTTACGAACTAGATATATTTCAATGAATAAATGAGTATAACTTTTAAGATCAATTTATAATTAATTTGAATTCTCTGAATTTACGAAGTCATCGAGATTAGATAATTATTTGTCATTTTTATATTAAGGCTTGTTCTAATTTACTGAAATTTTGTTTTTTGTTATTATGTTTAAGTTTTAACTTCTTCGAATTTTTATTTGAATGAGTTATTTCTTAATATAATAATAGAATTTCGAAGATACCTGATGAATCCCTTGACAAAGGACGAAACGCGTCGTGTCGATCTCGATTTTCTTTCAAATTTAAATTTCTAAATTATAGAATAGAATTTTCTAAAAAATGATTTTATTTTCATAGCAGTATAAATAGTCTTGTTGATTTTTAAATTTATTTTAAATAATCATATAGAACTAAGCCAACTGAAGAGTCTTTTAGCAGGGACGAAACGCGTCTTGGCAGCGATATCACATACCCGTACATCAATACTTCAGTGTTGAAGAGTTTTTGATATATATACTAATGGATTGTAAACATGGCCATAGAGTCTCTTAAACAAGGGCGAAACTAATCCGGTTATGGTTTCAATCTAAAAAATTCTTAACAATAATATAATAAAATAACAATATTCCAAGTGAATAATTAAGATTCCTTACAGCTAGTGTGTTTGACGTGGGTGGATGACTTGATCTTGTCAAAGTTTTTTGGATAAATGAAACGATAACCCTATTTGGCGGTATAGTGCTCGCCGCAGTGTGAGTCGTAGGCGGGTTTGTAGCTGAAACCCAAGTTTGACTCCCGATAGTGTATAAACAACCTTGAACAGGGCATATATTACAATCACTTGAGGAACAGCAGGTATAGTGTACGGTAAAGACTGAGTATGATGGCCCATCAAGATTATCTGAGAAAAGCGATGCATTTAGTGTAGACAATGAATTGCATGCTCCACATAGAGCAGGAGTTCCATAACCGAGTTGTGTCCAAACAGTTGTATAGCCGACTGAATAGATATAACCATTGCTATTGGACCCTTGAGGAATACTGCATGTAATGATCCGTGTCTGTAAATCAACAACGCAAAAAAAAACAATGTATTCCATGCATATAGCGATATTGCTCACATAACACTGAGATCCTGATGGTTGCAAAATAAACTAGATGGTATTCGACTTTCACTCGAGTACGAGAGGCGGTGCGAAGCACGCAATACGATTTATCAAAAAAAAAAACTTTTATAAATAGATAACAGGAACGTTTTTGTTGTTTTTTATAGTCAATTCGTTGTCTGTCAAGAAGTTTACATTTTTCGAAAAATATACGTTTGTTTCGCATATTTTCAACCGAAAAGAATATACTGTGGTTGATTAGATAAGTAAGTTTATGGGCATTGTGAATACTGATGATAATCAATTTTATCGTTATTCTGATTAATTATTCTGATTCTATATAGTTATTTATCTTCATATTCTTATATGAGTAAATGTAGAACATTTCATAAAAAGCGATCTATTCATTTACTGAATCTAACGAGGGAAGGTCCCTCGGTGTTGACCCGGAGATTTCGATCAAACCTGTATGGATCTTTCAAGTCTAGTACTCTCATCTCAAATATAGGGAAATTAGCTGCTGAGACCAAAGGAATCAAAAAATTCCGTGGGCCAATTTTTTATAACCCTGAGGGGTGCCACAGGTGAATTCTTTTGATAATAAAGCGGAATGGCTATCATTTGCCCTAAATTGAAATCCCTAAATCGGTCCCTAAAAAAGTCCCCATTTCAGAAAATGAATTTTCAGGCTAGTTTTGGCCAGACCCAACGTCAAAATGAATTTTCTGAAATAGGGACTTTTTTAAGGGCCCGATTTAGGAATTTCAATTTAGAGCAAATTATAACCTACCATAAAGCGTCTCTGGTACCCCTCAGGGTTATAGAAAATTTGTCCACGGAATTTTTCGATTCGTTTGGTCTCAGCAGCTAATTTCCCTATATTTGAGATGAGAGTACTAGGCTTGAAAGATCCATACAGGTTTGATCGAAATCTCCGGGTCAACACCCAGGGACCTTCCCTCGTAAGTATTTGTATAGTTTATTTTTAAAACAAAGAACAACAGTTAGATTAATACGATTAATGTTCGAATTTGTTTGAATTAGCCGTTTCACGAAATAAAGCAAGTCTAAATAAATTATATAAGATTTCTATTTGATTTTTGTCATTTATTATACTTACATTGTTGAACGAAAAAGTGCATCTTTGTTAGTAAGTTTATTTTCTTTATTTTTATTAATTTTCATTGTTTTGTTTTTTCTTATATTTTGAACTGATCGCTTTTCGATGTTGATATTAAATGCTTCGTAACCTCGGTCAGCTAGATAAAGGAATAAATAAAAAGAACAGAATTTTTTTTCTTACTTTTCTTTAAAGTAAATGAACATTTGTCCGAAATCATGAATCTAGGATTCATTTTTTCTGTTTTTATTGATACTTCTCTAGCAAAAACGTCTGGTTCATCCTGTTTGTCTAATCTATTAAATTGAATTTTGTAATTATTAAAATTAAACTATATTTAAATTACCGTTTGATAAATGCATAATGTCGCAATTTATTTGCATAGACAACAACACCTTGTATTTCACTGTCTTTCATTTCATCATCTATAGACAAAGTTAGAATTTGTATAAAATTAAAAAAAAATTACCAAAATTGTTTTCGATGGTTGTTTTGCAGGAATCAACGTCCATTTTGTCGTCTGTGTATTATAGTAGAATAAAATTTGAAGATATATCTGAAAAGAACTGAAAATGTATTTGTTACTACACTATTCATTTTCTTGTTTATTTGATTGACATTATAGTTAATGAAGAAATTTTTAAAAAATTATATGTATTAATATAACAAGTATTATTAGAAATGATACTATTTGTGCTAAAAGAATTAATCGTTACAATATTTCTTTTTTTTCTCATATGATTTCGTATGAAACTGAAAAAAAAAAATGACTTCAATTGTAAATGTTTCTTTTTTGATAAAAAAAACAGTAAAATTTTGATAATGATCATGGTTTCATGACTAATAAAATTTGTTTTCGTAATTCGCTGTATTGAATGAATATATTTCCATATGATAAAACAGCTGCAGCAATGTCGGTATCCGTGTCATCAACTGATGCGCCGACAAGTGTAAGTAATTCGTTCAATACTAAGTCAGATGCCCTTAATGTATGTTTTTCTTCAGATAAAGTATAAGAAAAAAATGAAATAATTATTTGTAGAAAAAATTCTTTTTTTTGCCAAAGTTTTACCAATTTGTATAACAATTGTTGTTGATATATTCCGAGATAAATTTTTCTTTAAACTATGTCTATGACATTTGCCACAGTAAACTAGTGTCGTAGTACCCATGACATCAACAAGATCTCCCTTACATGTTACACATGCAGTCATTCTATGAATGTCTGTTATTTCATCGATCCTTGTTGTAATTGTTTTATTATCATTTAAATCAAGTTCTAGTGTTGTTCCGATATTGGAAATATCCGGAAGAATTTCCTATTAATTAATTTATAACGATTTTTTTTACAAGCATACACTTACATTCATTGATATAGAAATATTCGTATCAATAGTAGTAGATAAAATTATCGAGCCATTAAATTTTTTTGATCGAACTTTTGTTAAAACATATGTTTTCTCTGTGCAAATAGTATCCGGTTTTAAATCATTAATCATTAAATAACTAGTGCAAGTTGCGTCTCCAATAAGAACAAATGTTGTTGTTTTTGTTGTATTTTGCACCTCGTATTCATACGTAGGTCGAATATCAATTATTGATATTTCAATTGTACTTGTTTCTGTTGATATTAATGCATCGCGTAAAAGAACTACTTCATTATTTCGAAGATCTATACTGAAAGATGGATTAGCCGATTGAAACTGATTCCACGATTGCATGCGGAAAATTGATGAGCCTATAAGCAAAATGAAGCCGGCAATTGGAACGGAAAAATTTGACAGAGCATTATAAAAGTTCGTAAAAATAATTTGAAATTATTTTTCAATGTAGCTTTTTTTAATTAAAATATAAGAAAATCTTTCTTTAAAATCAATTGTTTGATTTTACTGTACTGATTATTTACTGTACTGATTATTATTGAAGGAGTTTATTTACCATCGACTTGTTCGAGTGAGCCCCATAGTCGAAGACCTGTTTGATTCTTGTACGAATTAGATAAAGCAATACCTAATGGTGATGAAAGAATACCAGGATTGTTACTGAATATCCATCCATCTATGATTAGATTATTTTCGGAAAGCATCGAAAATTTCATGAAGTATTTCTTCTTCTTATTTTCATTAGATATATTTATAATATATTCAATGATTGATTGTTTAATACCATACGAAGTAGCCATAATATGTTAAAATTATTGTCAATTTCTCTAATAGAAAATAATGAACGACAATTTGAATATGTGCAAAACGACGTGCATATACTAACCGAGATTCGTTTGAAATAAGTGCACGATTGATTATTGTGTTATATGTGTTAATTAAATTTTCTTATGTCTGCGTGTTTTTTGTCTCGTTTTGAACAATTCATCTAATTAGATTTGCCAACCAATGGATGCATCGTTTTCAATAATCCAATAAAATAACGATATGTCATAAAGTACATTAAACGTTCTGACATAAAAAAACGTAAAAAAAATTGATTGTTACAGACAAATAGAAATCATACGCTATTTGAAACAGAAAACAATTAGAGAGATTAATAAAAAGTATGTGAATAAAAAAACAATAAAATAGAAAGTTTACATTTGAAGAAATATTTTTAATATAAAAAAGGAGTAAGAAAAAGAGAAAAAAAAGAAAAAAATGAAGTGATAGTTAAAAAGAATTGATGAATAACTGCATACAAAATGTTGAATGTTGTTAAAAAGAACGACGTGTCTTTGAAACAGTTAAATCCAATGTGTGAAGAAATGAAAGATCTGAACCTATCGTTGGAAATATTAGGTTATATTTTTTCTGTTGCGCACAGGTTTTCATTTTCTTGCTTGCATGATGAATATCATTTGATTTTCTTTTTCTTTTTTCTGCAGTTTTTATTATTGTGTCACATTCTATGTTACATGAAACGAAGTTCTCGATACTGGTATCTTTTTCATTAATAGATTCATTGTGAATAGAAATGTCATCATTACTGTGTTTAGTTTTAAAACAAAAGCTAAGTGCTTCATGAAAACTATAAAATGTTTCTGTTATTGATTCATGATGTTCTATATCAAATAGAAAATTCGAATATACACAATCGAGACAAGTTAAATTATTTGTACTAGGAATATTTTGAAATATATTCTGAAATTTCATTGCAGTCATTTTTATTTCAATTGTTTTACAGTCATTCCGAGAACTATCTTCATTGAAGTCACCAATAATCAAAATTTTCTTATGCATGTCTAATGAATTGAGAATGACAAAAAGACTTGTGAGAAATTGTTTTTTCTTTTGTGTTGGCGACCGATAACAAACTATAATAATCAAATCGTCTTGAAGTTCAACCGCGACATACTCGAGATTTAGTTGACTTTTTGAGAAATTTGTTTTAATTGCAATATCATTTCTAATGTAAATACCGACTCCACCTCGTTTTTGTAAATGTAATGGATGATCAACTTTAAATGATGAAGTTCGATCACGATGAATAAATCTATAATTCTCGATATCATATTCATTAATCATATTCGTGTTGTCTAACCATGTTTCTGCCAAGCAAATTATATCTGCTTTGCTTAGTAGATGATGATTCTTTAACGCTTTAAAATTCGATTGCAGTCCTTCGATGTTGTGAAACGTGACATTCAGAAAAGTTGATCTATCATGAAAAACTGAACATTTTTTTTCCATTGGTTTCATTTGTAATAACACTTTTTCAACCTTTTCATCGCAATAAAATTTATCGAAATGCAAATCAATTAGAAACAATCCATTGATTGTTCGAACACGTGAGAGAGCTGTATATCCCATGCCGCTACCAAATAAATTTTTTGAACTTATTACAATTTCATCAACAGTTATTCCTTGTGCTTTGTGAATAGTCACTGCCCAACTTAAACGTAACGGAAACTGTTTGTTTGATTCGGTTGACTTTGACACGGACTCCTCGGTATCAATACAATCGTTCTCACGCGTAACACATATAGTTCCAAGTTTTTTACAAGTACTACAACTTCTACGATGATCGACACCAGCTTTGACTGAGTCACACTTTATCAATATTCGAGAGATTTGTCTATCATTATTTTCAACAAAATCGAATATTCGACCAGTAACACCGTTCGCTAAGCCATCATGAACAGAAATATTTTTTGTTAACATAATACGAGCATTTTTTGCAAGTCGTAGTGGTTTATACAATTGTTTACCATATCTTTTCGTTTTAGGTTCTATTTTTTGACCTTTTCGATCAAGTTCGTAAATAGTTTTGATATTAGTACAAATTAAATCAATCATTTTTTCGTTGTGTGCATCTACATCAGCATTTTTAGAAAATAGATGTAATGCCTCTGGATGATACTCATTGTTTACATAACGTTCATGACATTTTTCAAGACTATGTTGATCTTCTTTTACCATTACAGATTTTTTTTTCATTTGACGTATACGATTTAGCATTTGAGCAAAACATCCATCATTTTTTTGACGTTGATTAGCTGTTAATTCAACAAATTCAAAATGATCTGTCCATAACAATGATGAATAAATACTCGAAGACGCGACTGGTGCACATTGATAGAAATCACCAATAGCAATGACACCAACATTGCCGAAAATAACTGAATTCGAATGAATTCCCATTATTTGATTCAGTCGAGAATGCATTGCGCCCCAGAGACCTTCCTGAACAAGTGACACCTCATCGACGAATAGAAGCTTCAATGATCCTAATTTACATCGATATGTGTTTAGTTTTTCACATGACAAGTTCTCATAAAATCGACTGCGTTGAGTACTCATACCAAACGCACTATGTATAGTTATTCCACCAACATTCACTGCCGCAGCACCTTTGAATGCTGTAATCAAAGTGTGAATTTCTTCAATATTTTCGTCAGGTTCTAGGTGTTTTTTTCTAGAAAAAATTTTTGTCGCTTCGTAATTTAAACATTTTAATAAATGACTTTTACCAGTACATGCACCACCAGTAATAAAAATACGAATTGGTTCAATATCCGCATTTTGCAATCGCTTGGTGCACCATTCTCGAACTCGATAGAACACTTGTTACTGTTCTTCACTCATAGATTCCAACAATGGTCGTATCTCATTGGATGCATGGCAAGATTGTTTCAAATCAAATATGTTGTTGTTTTTTTTCTTCTTATGAATCAATTCAAAGTCAGGATTTTCTTCATTTTCTATTTCATTTTGACCTAATCGATTCTTTTCTATGTTAGCTACAACATCAGCCCAATCATCTTCTTTAGATTGAGTAGCCAATTCATTGAAAATAGATTCCATTTCTTTGCTAACATCAAAATGACATTCATATTTTTTTCGATTCTCAGATACAATATCTTTGACTTTTCTATTACAGTTCTGATGATAATCATACACTATACCATTTTCATAATACAATTGATATGGTTTTTTAAATTCATCTCGATTTCTAATCGGTAAATACAGTACAAGAAGATTTTCAAAATAATTTTCTTGATCTGTTTCACGATTGAAAAAAGGATATCTAGTGATAGCTTTTTTATTACATCGTTTTTTTATTGCAAATGGTAATGTCTGTAATTTTTTTACTGTACTTTTCGTTTTTTTAGTAGATATATTAGCAGAAACAATGTCGTAATCGGATGCAAAATCTGCGATACAGATATTCAAATCTGAATCTAAGGGACGATCGAAATATTTATCTGCTAAATTTGACATGTATATATCACTGTTTTCATCATCCATTTGTTTCAATATGTGCTGAGGTTTAAGAAATCGACAACTATTTGAATGTGATGGAATAAATAACACTTTACGACTTGAATATGTGAGAGGCATACCCGTAGCGCGATAGATCGCTTCTTGAACACTCACCTGTCGATGATTAAAAAATGTGCCTGTCAATTTTTTCATTTCTTCTCTTACACTTATATTGCCTTCACGACATTCTTTATGAGTTGCTTCAAGAAGAAGACTCATTTCCCTTTCTGGTTTTGTTGTGTATGACATTAAATACTTTGCACATGCGTACGGATCAAGCACAAACTGAATATCGATATTAGCATTCCATGCTCTTAGTAATTCTTCATCGTACTGATTAACCCAACGAGCATTCGGTTCTCTTTTATGAATCAATGTTGGTCTTCGATGAACAACTGTTAGAGACCATTCATAATCATCATAAGTCCAATTGTATTTACACAATAAACTATCAAAATCGGACCATAGTAATGTTTTATCTTTTTCTAACATATTCATAGTTGCATTCATTTCTTTCAAATTTTTTTTTGCCTGTTGTACACGTTCTTTACATTCATCATTGTCAGACTGAAATGGTTCGCATATAAATGTACGTCTAGCTACTGGTCGTGGAAAACTAAATCGACAAATAGTATTATGATATTTTAAGCAAGATTTTGAATGACTACGTGAATGAGTTTGCACATCTTTAATAATATTATGTAACTCATTGTCTTCAGTTGCCGATGGAAAACGTGTTGTAATGTATTTATCACAAAATCGTGCAATTTCATCGCGAGTTTTTGTGTTTGTATTAACTCCATTGTACTTAGGTGCATGTTCAACCCATAGAGGCATATGAGAATGTGGAGATCCTCGAAATTGCATCTCTATTCTACAGAACCAATCACTTACTTGTCCTAAAGAATATGATCCACCTTTAATAAATAATTTCATCAAGTTATTAAATCTGCCTTCGAACATACGAGAAGCAATCACAGGATTTGTTCGTAAAAGTCTCGCCTTTTCTGCAAAAGAATATGAATCTTTTACTTTCTCTCCAGTATGTCGAACAAAACTATCTATGAATTCTTTCCATCGTAAATCAGCACATGAGAATGTTACGAAATAAGTCGGACAACCTAATTGTCGCGTCATTGCAAACAAATCTTTCAAACGTTGTTGCCAATATTGTGGACTTCCTCGTACCGATTGAAAGTGTCGATAAATCATGTCTTTACCTAAAAGAAATTTCATTTGACCATCATCAGAACTTTGACCTACATTTAACGTAAGTTTTTTACGAAATGCAATATTAATTGAAGAGAAAGTTTGTTTTAAATCAGCTAGATATTTTAAGAAAAAAATGTAATTAGAATCAGATGCAAATCTTGAATCCGACGAGAAAAGACGTAATTTGCAATATTCTTTCCAACCAAGTTTGCATTGACGTTTTTCATCAAAAGAACCACGTCCATCTGGAAAAAGATGAGGAAACGCCAATGCTTCGATTGTATTATCTGATAAAAGTGCAGTCAACTTATTTTTTTCAGCTGGCGCTACTGTATGTAATTTACTTTCTTGCATGACTAAGTCAGAGAAATCAGCTGGTTGTATACATGAATCAGTTCCGATGTTGTACTTTGCACGAATATCATCATTATCTTCATCCATCTCTTCGCTGTCATTTTTACAATCTTGTACATCACCAAGTGCTAGTCTATTTATATGATCATCATTTGTTATTTCTGTACTTGTGGACGATTTTTCACACGTAATTTCCTCGATATCAATCGCATTACTATTATTTATTTCATTTTCTTGATTTGATTCATTCTTATCAGAAATGAGATAATTCTCTTTAATATCTTCGATTTGAACATATTTATAACCAGGATGTTTTTCTTTAAGAACAGTTAACGCTTGTCGTATATCATTAGGATTGATTAACTGTTCTTCCCATACAGCTTTATACTTTAGTCGTCTTTTCAGTTGTAATCGAATCATCATTGATTTGTCAATCGGACGAGGTAATGACATAACAGTATCCTCAACATCAGATGGAACGATATGAAGCGGACCTTTCGTTCCTTTCTGTGCAAATTTGTGAGATATTTTTCCAGAAACAAGATTTACAATTTTCATGAAAGGTAAGCGTAAAGCAATTAAATGCTTTTCTAAATCATTTAATTTTTTCAACTCCGCTGGAATTTCACAAACTTGCAAATTATTGATAACTGCTCGACTCGGTATCTGTTTTCGTTTTATTTTTGTTGAACACAATATGCATATCCACTTATTTTCCGATTCATTCTTATCTAGACAATATAATAACATTTGTTCCTCAGTGAATATAACTATCATTTTGTTTTCATAATATTCTTTTATAAAAGCAACAACTTGATTACGAAAAAATGTTAATTGACATATAATACATACAAAGTCAGGACCTGCTTGGTTTTCCTTTCGAAATAATGTGAGATTTTTTTCATACACCTTTCGAATATTGCGCTTGATTTTTTTGTTTGTCAATAGAATATATTTTTTTAAAATTCGTCGAGTTTGATTTTGTTGATCTACATCAAGTAATATACGTTTTTGTCTATATCTTTCTAGACACTATTGCATTAACTTATGACGTATATTGTCATTTGAATGATAACGTTTTAAAGCACGTTCCATTTTATCATTGCGAAATTGTTCCTGTTCGTGATACTTTTCAAAACTCATATTTGCTACTGCAAGATTATGTTTCTCTCTAAATGAATTATCGGAATTGTATTTGTTCTTAAACCAATTCCTTTGTTTTTCAATTCTTGTTCTTGTTTTCTTAATAATAATTTGTTTTTCTCTTTGATCTTTGAAAAAACATAACTTTCTTTTCCGATCTGATTCCAATCGGCAAACTCTAGATAAAATTATAGAGATTACATGATGAACATCAATATTAATTTGGAAATCATTGTCTCGCTTATTCATCTGTGAATTGTTCACAATTAGATTATCTTGAAGCTTTTCTATTGAACGTTTCAAACTTTCTCGTCGATAAGCATTCTTTAGTATCTTTCTTTTATTTACAGTAGATTTTTTGCGTGACATTTATCATAAATTTATTTGTTTTAAACTTATGTGTACCACTAGATAATGAAAACTGATGTTTGATACTGTTGAAAAAGATTAGACTTTTCAAACTTTGTGAGAAATCAAATCAACACACACCTCTCGATATAATGCCTCGTAGTAACTAGGTGAGGATGAATCGAACTAAGTGAGGTATTAAGAGAATCAAAAGACGTAGTGATTCTAAAAATATTCAAACTATATGAATATTTCTAAATTTAATCGTTTTCATAAAATGTATAAATTTTACACGTCCAATAATTCCAAAAAAGTCGAATAAGAATACAATGTAAATGTTTCGAGATTTCAAACTTTTGATTTATTTATTATTTTGTTTTATTTATTTTCATTGATAAGAATAGCGAATAGAAATGTTTAGTGTCTGGTATAAAATTTTGATAATTAATCGAAAAGATGTCAGGAAGTGTACATCGAATCTAAATATTTTCGCTAGCAATAATTAATTACGGCTAAGATCAGCGCGAAGTCGCGATGTATTCGGATTGATTTAATGAAAATAAAATCCACATATTATTAATAATATCCGGATTTTATTTTACGCGAACGAAACGTTGTAGACGAAATCGGAGAAAATTTGGTACATATTAAAATCTTCCTGATTCTTATGAAGTTTTAACGACTATCAGGCGATATGCCGTTTTGTAGATCACTTCGCAACAAAATATGGACTTTGGATGCGGATGTCGAGAAAGAAAAAAATTTCTTCGACAATCGCTATACAGTGCTTCGCACCGTAAATATACCAGTTGATTCCATGCAGTTGTCCAGGAATTTACAGTATCGAGCACATAGCAATCGATGCCATCAGTTCCTAGAAAAAATAGAATTCGTTCGAAGCTGTATGTCAATGGTTATTTGATACTAAAAATGAAAGCATTTTCTCAATGTCTACAATTAACTATTGAATAAAATCTGATCTTTCTCAAGTCCTGATCTCCTTGTTTGCAACCCAATGCACGCGAAATATCTGCTGGTAAAATAAACATTTTTGTTAATATTGATCTGCCATTTTTAGAAATCAAGTCTTAGTTCAATTTTTCTCCACATTTCATCTTGTATCGGTGATATCACTGTTATCGAATATATACTCAAAGACGACAGCGTTTTTATTAGCCTGTGATAGTCTAGGTGAAAGGAAAGAGAATCATGTTTCTTTGAGAATCATAATATGTCGAAGTCTAATTCTAGAAGCGTCGTTAGATCAAATTTAGATCACACTCATCGATTTTTTTTCTAAAAAATGCGTATCTCAGTAAGATTTTCTTTTTCTGACAACACGGAAGCAATTCAATAATGTCGAAGGTTGAAGATGACTTACCATGACTGAGCAAGACCAATATAGAGACAACTACAGAGAAGATAAAGCTGGTGCCCATTTCAACTGACTTGGATTGCAAATGATTCGTCAGATACCCTGAAAAGCACGAGTGTGAAGTGTTGACTCACTTTATTGAAGTATCATTAGTGATGGTTTCTATAGTGAGTAGACATTGAAGGCATTTCTTCGTGAAATAATAAAAACAAAACAATATGGTCAACACGGTAGAATTAAGTTAAAGGAAGCACCGAAAACTTCATTCGAACAAAACAAATTTCTTTTTTCTTAACGTCGAAAGATGATTCATTTTCTCAGATGCAATTTAATTACTCTTTTTCTCCCATTCACATCCATGCCCTCAAGCGCACGCATAGTTAAGAATTTTTTCCAACTTCATTGTTTACTTTCTATTCGTCGAGAATAAATCAGTCAATATAAAAAATCTACACGAGGCAACGAATCTTCAACTAGCATTGATGTCGATTCTTCCCTCTTCATGTAATCAAAGGAAACGATTGTAGATGGGTGTGTTGGCTATCATTCATTGCTTCTGTGTGACTGGGGATGCAGACCCGTATCCTACAATGGAAACGGAGGGTATCGGATGTGAGTGGTGTGAGTTAGATAGAACATAAGTTGAAATCGAAAAAGAGAGATCTAATCGATCACTACTGTGCTGTATATTTACAAATTTTAATCTAATATGAATTACTACACGTAGCTACCATCTAGCTCATGCAATAACTCTGTAGCTTAAAGGTAAAATATCCAATAGGTTATTACAACGTTGTGGGTTCAATTCCTGTCTTAATTAAATGAAGCTTTTTAATCTCATCATGCATATTAGAGAAAGCATGTCAACTGTCGATATTCATAAGAATTAATTTATTATATCACATGGACAAGTGATATGATGTTAGATCATCCTTTTAAGGATTCATTTTCATGCTTTCTCTTTCTATTTCAACTTATTTTCTATCCAATTCACCACTTACAAGATCTTCTACGACATTTTGGATTGCATCTAAACATTAGATCACTATTCAAAATCTTTCGCTAACTTTTAATCCTTCTCTCTTATAACTTTCTTTTGAATTTTGAGATTTGAAATTCTTTTTGTATACAGTCACCTCTAATATCAAATTTAATTGATAAGTTCCATAAGCAAGGACGAAGCTAGTCGTGTAGTGTTTTGAATTTAATCTCTTCTGTTATACTATTGAAAATATTTCATTGAAATTTTCGACTTATCATTGATTGCTGAAAAGCAAGACCTGAGTCTAGCAGATTGAACTTGTCTTTTCGTTAGGAGATAGTTCGGTCTTTTTTTTTCAATCGCTTAAGACACCACTGTTCTAATGATATTTATCGTATTCAACCTTAGATTTTATTTCTATTGTTCCAAGTTCTGTGTCAATACATGTATTTCGTTGTGATTCTTCTGAATCATTCAAACAAATATGACAGAATCAAAGCCAACTGATGATTCTCTTTTCGAGGACATGAAATCCGCACCTTGGCATTCCGAAACTAAACATCGTATAGTTCTATCAATCTAACTTAGATCTATGGCGACACAGTATTAGTCCTGGGCAAGTATAACAGAGCCAAAATAGTCTGATGGTGGTCCTTAGAGTAGGTCGCAATGCGGAAAATGTATACTTGACTCCTCACCCTCACTCTGACGCTCACAAATCTGATTTTTTTAAAGATATCATCTCGAATATCCTGCAAAGATGTTTTTTTATTATTTATTATTTCTATTTCGTGGATACTATTTGAACAATTGTCACAAAGTCAAAGGGATCTTACGATGGCCCCTTATTAATGTCTTTATATTGACTTTAGTAGACGAGAGTGGCTACGAAAGTAGTTTAAACATGATGTAGACTATTAATACAATGCCGTTTGCGCCATAATATATTATAGTCATGGCTAAGCTGCCCGAATATAAAGTGGGATTACAATACGTATTGAGAGTGGAATTGTGGGATTGGGTTCCATTTGCAGTGCTAATACTAGTCAAAGAAGCACTGATAATTACTTCGAATATAAACATAATTATGTTCAAAATAACAGCACCACAAGGAATTAGTAGTACACCAGCAACTTCACAGCATGAATCCCATTCTGCCGAATTCGTTGCCTTTGACACAGCCGAACATACTGCTGTTATGAGGAGCAGAATGCCGATACAGCCAGCTACCAAATTAAAAATTGGCATCGACGGCTGAATGGGACACTGGTAAAGGTACATAATACCAATAATAAACTCTGTGATAGAAACACAAACTACACGCATGACCATTACAAGTGTATTAGCAGTCAGTGCAATTAAACCACAGGTTCCACATGATTGAATGTTCATCTAGATACAATAAAATGGAAAAGACACATATGGAAACTGACGAATAAATAAAGTATAAAATTTAGAGGGCATAAAGCCAATTGTGATTTTAAATGAAGCGAAATAACTCGATTTAAGCTAATACTCATAATCAAAATTATCATTTCTGTTATCTGTATATCTACTAAAAGAACCGACAAACCTTAGACGTGAGGGTTCGAGTATTACTTGAACGGTTTTATCCAAGTAATGAATCAAGACTTGAAATGGATGAATCAAGCCAGAAATCAACGAACTCTATCGAATATCACCATTTCTATTTCATGAAAGTTTTATTTAATCAAAATAATTAACATTCAATAGTTTGTTTTTATTATTGATTTTTCATAAATACGATACAAGTTCCGATAAGAGAACTGTTAAATAAAAATCCATGCAAGTTCTTTATTTCATTTTAGTTGAGAAAATTGAATTAATAAAAAATTTCTTCTTGAATTATTCACTTTGCAACACCTTGGATAGACATTAGTGGTCTGCTTCACTTTTCGTTCGATGAACAGAAGAGACTGTATGGATTCAAGTGAACGAATCCGATGGATGAACACAATTTTACTAACTGCCATTCTTGGAGGGTTGTTTAAAAGCTCACATCCGATCGCGCTTCTATGGGGTCTGATTGTCAGACTGATTCTTTTGTGAGGGTGCGATTCGCTGGTGGTGAATAGAACAAAATATATCGATATATATGAAGCAAATGATGCAATTTCTATTAACAATTCCGATCAATCGTGACAATATCAGAACGAATAAATTTTGTTCATACTTGTCGGTGTGTATGTGTCCTTATTATCCACATATATAAGGGGAAGAGGAAATAAAAATAATTTTATTCATCCTCTCGTTATCTCCATTCTTCGTACAGAACTGAAGAATGGTGTATTATTATGGAGAATTGTTGGGAGATGTTGCTCTTCTATAGTAATATGTAGACAACGAAATACACTAATATTTCTAAGACATGAACATTCTTTTAAATATTACAAGGCTATGTAAACTGGTGAAGATATTTAGATTAATCGAGTTGTTAGTGGAAATCTTTACTCGTTGTGTCCATTTAAATGGTTTTCGGAAAGTAATTTTTGTGAGCGCAAAAGTATTAGATGACAGATCGGTATGCAAGGGGGAATCGATGTACTCCGGTATCGTGACATTCAAAAGACTCCACGTACTTCAATTGTAGTTCATAGACTCTGTGAACTCTTGTAGTACAATAGGAGACCAAAGATTACAATACGTTGCACGTAAGCATAGATCAACCATTAGTTAAATGCTAATATTAAAATTTGGTATAGTGTTCATTTGATTATCAACATGTATCCATCTCTTTTCCTGGAGATTAAGTATATGATTTAATTGTCGATTGAGTGCACTTCTAAACATTTCAGTACAGAGAAGTAGTTATTTTTATCATAGTCTTTTTTAACAATACAATTAAAATAATAATTCCCAAAAAAAAAGAAATAGAAAATTTCTACAATCAATTCTTTGATCGCCATCTTCTATCGTTGCCTTACACGAGCTAGACGATCGTTTGATGAGATTGGTTTATTTTCAGTTAAAATCCAACAAGCAGTTTGCTTGTGTAGGTATTTTCTTTTTTGTTTGATTTCGACTTCAAAGTATGATTTTGCTAATTCGGGCCGTATTGTATCGAATAGTCGCATTCCAGCGAACTTACTTCCATTTAAATCACCGAATACTCGATTTGACGAGACAGTTAATGTTTCATATGGATGTTCACCGTACGCTTGATCTTCACTCTCAGCGTAACTTTCTGAACTTAAAGTAATATCTGATCCATCTTCCGAATCTGATGTTTCATCTTGCTCATTTAGGTCAGAATAATCTTGAATATTAATTCTTTTTCTCAATATGTTGTACATGCAGTTATTAACTTGTTTGATAGTAGTCATCTGTTTTTCATAGAACAACTTTTTCGTATCGAAACTGAATAGTAATTCAGTAGCATCATTGTATGCTTGTTCAATTGTTTGTGTTATTGTTTTTAAGTTAAGTGTATCGTTGCCTACAGTTACATGTGTTGATTGTTTCCATTGCTTACTTTGCTTACTTTGTTTATAATGTTTTGGAAATACAATACCATTATCACTTGAACCAAATTCACTCTCAGTTTTGATTTTGTATAATAGAGAAAGTTTTTGAGCACGATTAAGAAATTCCTGTACACTAAAGTTGACGATAGAAGAAAATGTTCCAGGCATAGAACGAGCTGAACGAAACATTTCTTCACATGTCTGTGAATTGAATAAGTGAATGCTCATAGCCTCTAGTGGTAATTTCTTTTCTATGACTAATAAAGCAAGATATGTGAGTTGATGAGCATTGATTTCTATACAATAGTAGGCGTTATTGGTAATAAAAAATTGTTTCTTATTCGTATTGTTTTGATTACTTGTGATACCAGTTAATTCATATAGACTATTATCTAAATCAGTCCTTTTCATATTATCGATCCAGATGTACGACAATCGACTAACAAAAACGGAGAAGCATGCATGATAAATTCGATCAATGGGAGTCGTCAACTTATCAATGTATGCAATCATAATTGATCGAAGTAGGCGACGATACATGATAATGCCTTCAGAATCTTTGATATTATTTAAACAGTTAATTACATCATCAATACATATCTTCACACAAGAACTAAAATTCTGACGATCTTGAGGGAAAATATCAGATTTGACTAAGCCATGTCGTAATTTTGGAGTATTTCGAATTAATGCTGAGAGATAGTGAATGCAAATACATCGATTACCGATTAACATATGAGCTGTACGAGATAGTAGCCTATTCCGTAATTTTGTAGAAAGATATGTAGCATCTTGGAAGCATAGAAATAGATGACTATCACATCCAAAATACCAATTCCACTCCTCTGGAATGTTAACACGGAATGAGTCTTTGTAAGCGTCTAATTTAATATTAGGCAGCGTCGTAAAAAAACCAGTAACAAGACGCATTGGACGCATATATTTTGGATCGCCATCAGTCGAAAATCCAACAATACGAACACTTTTTAATAAACTCTGTTCGAAGATCCATATCCATCGCCGAATTATATCAATTGTTTCAAAAAAATTGTTAGTTCCAAATGCAGAAAGTAAAAAAGGATTAGATGCGAATTGTATATTATTAATTGGCTGAACCATATGTATATTTATCACAAGTAACGCGGCGTAAGCGCCGCTGACCCTCTACTGAAAGGATTTTATTAGATTAGCCAGAGAGATGGTAAACGATCGTATAATATTTGCGATGTGGATCGAATAACTCTGCTTTAGATTCTCATGCATAGTGAAATAAACTGAAAAATTTGACGACATTAGTGATTCAGAAAATTCCAGTTTTTTAAGCAATTGAAATACTTTTTGTATTACATCGTATGATCGATCGATACGGAAGAGTGTACCTAAGACATAGTAAGATCACAACAGAAATCGAACAGAACCTGCCAATAAATAAACTGCTCCCATATTCTGCGAATGTAACTATGAAAGTTTGCACTCCATTGACATTGCCATGATTTGATTGAATTGTCAATGTCACAATGCAAGGTAAATAATTGTTAGGGTTATAACAGTGTTCTCTTCTTACCGTTTTCTTTATCAGTTGGTGCAGCCGGATGACGGAGTATTTATTCCAAGTCTTTCTCGTATTTATTTATTTTTCTACTTGATAACGGTTTTGAGTTACAGTCTGTACTAAGATGAATCATCCTCTGAAAAGTTTTCCAAAAGCATACAACCAAAATTAATAAAATTAATAAAAATTATTTTCACTTGAATTTGTAAGAGTCTAGCAAAAAGTTCAATTAAATCTAGACAACTTTAGTTTATAATAAAAACCACAAAATATTTTGTATCAATTGAATTTCTTAGGATCGACAGTGTATCCATCAATAATAACGTAAGCACTTGACAGATTTTCTTTTTACGTGAGGTGCTCATCAAGCACTATTTATCTACATTAACATGTCTCTATTTCTCGAGTTTTTATGATATGGTTTTGTTATTTGAATATAAAGGAATTCGATCTAACATGTAAAAAAAGAGCTATCGTAATTAATTTTGTTTAATTGTGCTTCAAAATTACTAATAAAATAGTCAATCAAAAGCTGGACTCTTCTTAGAGTATGTATTTTAGTAATATGAAACATCGAGTAGGAACGATCATTCGACAAGAATAAAACCAAGTGTCCGCCTGGTGTTTACTCAAACTTTACTGACGATTACTAGCAATAAATATACATTGCTTTCATTTCAGTTACATTGTAATTACAGATTACATCAAAAAGAGTGCCAATATTTGCATAAGTGACTTGAGTTACTTCTTTATTTTAGGTAATATTATACAATATCAAATGTGAATAATTTGAGATGGAAACAGTAATATATAACTATTGAAATCAAAGACAAGAAAAAACAACAAAAAAAAGAACTGGAAAGTTTCTTAAACATGAAGTAAGCTGTGACGTTGAACAAAATTTTCTTCGGCAGTGTGAATCATAACCTGGAAAACAAACGTATATATTTTTTTCTTTTTAATAAGTTGATTATGTACATTGTTTTGTCTATTGGTAGCTGGGAACGTTAAATTATTCGAAGAGTTTGGTGGTTAGTTGTTCGACAACGTCGAAAAGCCAAGTATACTAAACTGGCGGCCAGTCCGAAAAATGTCAATTTAGTTACTAACATGTTAAGAGACCATTTATGAATGGGAGGAAATTGACGAGTGGTAGGAACTGTTATTGGTTGACGTAGATCGTTTATAATCTCCTGCATTCTTTGCTCAGTCCAATTTGTCTTAAACCATGTAGTATTCTCGGTGAGGTGTCGAGAGACATCTACGATAGACATATTGGTAGAAAATAGTCCCATATCGTTTAGGATTATGAGTGAAGAGACATTAGAAGTTCTTGGACGGCCTACCAAAGTGAATCCAGGGCACAAAATTGTGTAACCTGGAGTTACGTTTACAAGAGCTACCGGCGGAAGAATTATTTGCTGGCTTATGTTCAAAGTTTGGTGATTACTAGTTCGATATTCGATTTTTGGAATTTTTAGACAATGTAGCGATTCAGATGACGAAGTCACCCAAATGTTATCTGTCAGCTGTCGAACAAAAACTCCGGAATGGGAGACATATTTTGCATGACAACTGGACAATGGAAGACTTCCTATGATTTGACCAAGGCAACTATCTTTTGATATTGTACGTAATGGTGGAGTATCACGGCATGATGTCATCAATTGGAGGTTGCATCCGGATTCTTCAGGATCATGCCATTCCATAGTAGTGTTGTCTGTTGGGTTTATTGCCCAGTATCGAGGAATATGAGAGAGTTGAATAGTTTGATTCTTATGTAGGTAGGGCATCGTCAATAATTTGTAGACATGAAATGATGTTTGTTCCTGTTGTGGAACGGCAAAAAAACTAGTGATGACAATACGACCTATTTCCTGTGGATTCTGATTTTCATATTGTGAACTGGGAATGAAGTCTATCTGTTGACGAACGAGCAGTTTAGTAATGAATTCGACAATGGGAATCGATCCATGATGAGCATTAAAAGTTAGATTTCCTTGCTCAATAACGTGGTATACTACTTTCTGCAGATCATCTGGTGATAAAAAATTCAAAGTGAGTTGATTACGGAAGATCTGGGTTATTGCTAAGTAGATGAAGGAGCGTTGGAAATTAATGTGTAATCGTTCAATGTCAGTTTTAAGCGTATTCAGAGCCTGGGAATGCGAATCTAGAACAGGTATGATATCGTTAATGGCATGTTGTGTTACTTGAAGTTGCTCTGCAATTTTGATCTGGTTTGGTTGAATTTTTGCTAGTTTTGCTTCATGTATTTGCATCGTTTGGGAGAGTTCTGATAGAGTGTTTTCAACCATTTCAACCTGTTCTTGAAGATTTAGCATTTGTATGCTATTTGCTATAGATAGACCCATACTTATGACTCCAACACCTAAACTGATGAGACGAGAACGCGAACGTTTGTGTCTTTGTGTCGTAACGTTACATGAAGGAATATTTGCCGCATCTGATAGAGGTAAAAGATGGCATGCTTCTGTCGTCATCGGAAAAATAGCCGAGTTATGAATGATTGTGTTAGACGGTTTATACAGTCCCACATAGTCAAAGAATAGACCTGCTTCAAGATGCGCAATTGTGGAATTCTTCCAAAAGCTTCCGTCAGAATGCGAATGAACAGTTAAAGGAAGTATGCTCAGAAGGGATATTAATACTATGAGATAATATTTCATGACTGACATTGAGTTATGTACTTCCGACGTTTGTTAGTAATTAATTTTGATCAACACTATTGATAAAAGAGAGTGAAGACACTTTCTTGAAATATCTAAAATAAATAAGCAAAGAGAGAATTAACGAAAGAGATGAAAGAGACGAAAGTGGCACTTAGTGATGTATATAAAATATGCAATATACTTTATTGTTCATCATCTGTGATGGATTTAGCCTCTCTCAATATGTTTATTTTGACAAGTGGAAATTCTCATTTTAATCATTGAAGAAGGCATGTAACTATCATTAACAATAGATTTTGCATAAGCATTGACAATCATACTCGCATTCACATTCATATGACCTAGAAAACGATTTATTAATATGCCAGCAATAAAGCATAGAATAGGGAAACAAATTTGGTGTTTTCTCAAACAATCAAGTGATATTGAAAAGTTTGACACAATGAATATATTTCACAGATTCATCGGCAAAATTTTCAATGTGATATGAAATCAATCTACAAAAAGTACTCTTGTTTTTTTTAGTTACTCATTCACCTGCTAAAACATAAATCCTGGTGTTTTTTATTAAAGGATTCAATAATCTCTACTGATTTAAAAGCAATACATGAAAAAAAATTACATTTATTGTTGCATATTACGATATAGTTGTAAAAAATTGGAAACAGCATGTAAACAAGATTAGTCAAAATTTAATATTCAGTATTCTTTACAATAAAGGATAGAGATAAGTGGAGTATTTATTTTTAAGTCATAGAGATAAAGTATGGAAACAAAAGACGCCTTGTTCGAGTGTTGATAATGATTTTAGAAACACTCGAAATCGTAGAAATAATGCTCAGAAGAGTATAGATGTGGATGTGTGACAGTGAATGTGAACAAACAATCTACACTCATACCCACATTCTATGCATGTAACATGAAGAATAGAAAATTCTACTCCAATCATAATTGTGATCTCTGAACGAAGTCTTATCTTTTTGGCTGTATTAAGTCATGCTCGCTTGCTTGAAATTTCATGCGAAGAAAAGAGAGCCGATAATTTTCCCCGAATATAAATGTAGAATATCTGAGCCAAAAACGCTAATGCCGTAATGCACATGATATATATTGATCTAGAAAATAGTATTAACATTGAGAACAAATATTTTCATGCTAAACAGATCAGTCATAAGTGAAAACGAAGCGACTAGGAACATATATATATAAGCGATGAAGATTCAAAGCGCACTGCAAATCTGCGAGAATCAAAACAAAAACGCATGAATGAAGCTTAAAATACTCAATATCTTGATAGGGAAGTATATATCGTCAAAAGAAAACTGCTGTTAACTCAACTTTGATTGACCGATGATTTAATGAGCGTAACCCTAAATTTACAACATTATTTTATCTAGCCGTCAGTTAGTTTTGCAGTTTTTTTCGAAATTTTGTTTTGGTCTTCAAAGCAGTGACTTCTCATTCAGAACCAGAGAATACATTGTACAATACTGATATGGCTCTTATAAAATATCACCGATCATTATTTCATCATGCAGTAATCACAGTTTTTCTTTCCTTTAACAATTTATAATCAATTATCTGGCATCGGCTTATCTTATAACGTTGTATTAGCAATAATTGATGTAATATAATCAAAGTATCTATCTTATTACTTCATATTCTTCTCTTTTGTGTTCGTGTATTCATAAAAATTGCTCTTTGTGTGAATTAGACGCTAATTAATGCGAATAGATTTTTTCCTCTTTTAATAGTGGTATTCCTTTCAATCTATGTTGCATTAGATATATAGAATATCATGAGTGCTTCAATTTGGAATTTGTAAATTCGTTTTGGGTGAACAATCATACTCATTTTTGTCTTCTTAGAAAAATCACCCTAGTCAATCTGTGTATATTAGGAATCAATTCATGCGAAAGAAATGTTTCTATAACGAACTCATTTTTCCAATGTTTTTGAAATAGGCATTCTACACGTTTTAGTTCGGCACAGCCTTTAATCTGTTATTTTAAAATTGTTTTTTGACAGTGTCACCGATATTAGTTCACGATTGATCTCTTTCTCTCATAGTAATCGCTCTGTCTCTTTTTCTATCCGTATGCATCTATGTTTACGCATTGTCCATAAGTAGCGAATGGCTTATGCTGACTCGTTTCTTTTCCTATCTCATGAATTTATCACAGAAAGTATCAAATATTTTTAGTCAAATCAGTCCTGAAAAATTTCGAGAACAAAAGTATTTCTATGGTATTAAAGATGAAGAAAAAAGACAAAACATAACTAGGATTAATATAGGACTAAATATTGTAGTATAGTGATATGTTTGACACCTTGCATTACTGTTGGACATAATCAACACGTCTGGTTAATATATTCGGTTCTCATTAGAAAAAAGTATGTTCTATAGATATGAGTGTACATCTCTCATTGACAATACTCATTTTACAGCTTCTCATCGATTTTCATATGTAAGAGAAAGTGCCACAATGGCTTGTTGTCCACAACGGATCGGTTTACATTTGACATAAAATTTTTATTAGTTTTGTTGAAGATGATTAATCCATTGAGCACGAGCAGTTGCCAATATTAAAGACAGCTCGTTTAGATAAAGTATATGCTATATTACGTTCTGTGCAGCACATTCCATGTTTAGACATAGAGAGCGAGAGCGCACGATTCTGATAATCAGCAAGCAAATGCAGCACAGATATCAATGAAACGCGTATTTATAGGCAAATTTTAGACTGATAACATCAGTGTCTGACTTTTTTCAACTAAGAACAAAGGATACATATAATGTCTACGTATTTTTTTCATTTCGTTTATGTCTTCTGCGCAGCATCTCTTGAGAGTGTAGTCTAGACTGGTAGAATAATGTCAAGGATGTATGGTATTTATCCGTCATCAGTCCTTAGATAGTATCTTTCGCTCTTATGTTAAAGATAAAACAATGCCAATAACAAAATTATTTAAAGTAAATATTTACTGACCGAATTTTACTTTTTCAAAAAACACAGATAAGAGGCTTTGAACCTTCATCGACTAATGATCAATGCCATTAAGAATGACAAACACAATATAAGAAATATCGTATAAAAATCAAAGATAAAAGTGGAAAACATCTCAAGATCAAAGCCAGATGTGAACAAAGCAAAGGGAAAACGGAGTACTTTTGTACTTGAAGTTACTTTGACAACTTTAAAGTACTTTTCCCTACTTTACGCTATTTCACGTCACTTTGAACTACTTTTGTACTTGGGTGTACTTTTCGACTTAAAGTACGCCGTTCCCTCCTTGGTTCTTCTGCAAAATTGATTTTAATGAACTGCAAAATCATTATAAATCTAAGATTTCTTTAAACAAGATACGATATTGAAAACAAAGCAGTAGAATCCTTTATATTGTTCTCTACAATTTGATTGAATTCTTCTATGGATAAAATTTTCACAGCGGCAACTGGTGGGACAAAAACAAGAAAATACCAATGAAACTAATTTGATACATGTGTGTGTCGAATTAAATAGAGAGCCATTTTTTGCATAATGTGGTCTAATAGGAAAATAATAGTACTCTTTCATGTGGAGTATTTTTAACAAGCTATCACACACTCTAAAGCTAACGATTTAATAAACCGTATTGCGTAATATTATCTTGAATTTCTTTCTATTTTTCGTTGATTCTATTCAATAGTCATAAACGTGAACGAAAATTGGTGATAAACTGATTTCTAACACAAGAAATCGCTGTAAGAAATGTATAACATGAGAAAGAAACTAATGAACGTCAATGCAAAATCTTCGAACAGACTATAGTGGTCGGTGAGCGGGCTATCAATATAGTTGATATTCATTTATACTTTTTACTTTTAATTATAATTGTTACATTATTCATCAAACAAGTGAATATGGATCATTTTCACTGTAGATCTGTACATGTCAGTATTCAACTCGGACCATGAACACTCATTGTTTCCGAAAGCTATATTAGATTGGTTCGATTATTTTATGTTGATAATGCTCCAGTTGTTGTAGAAAATGGTTTCGCTATCAATAACATATATATCTCCCTATAGTGAACAGCGTCCTAGCGTCCTAACGTCTTGCTGATATCAATAGGACCCCAGGACGCTGCATATAAGGAAGACAATTATCTCTATTGATGACACATATTTCTCTCTATAGTGAACAGAGTCCTAGCGTCCTAACGTCTTGTTGATATCAATAGGACCCCAGGACGCTGCATATAAGGAAGACAATTATCTCTATTGATGACACATATTTCTCTCTATAGTGAACAGCGTCCTAGCGTCTTAACGTCTTGTTGATATCAATAGGACGCCAGGACGCTGCATCTAAGGAAGAGAATTATCTCTACTAATGACATCTATTTCTCTATATAGTAAACAGCGTCCTAACGTCTTGTTGATATCAATAGGACGCCAGGACGCTGCATATAAGGAAGACAATTATCTCTACTAATGACATCTATTTCTCTATATAGTAAACAGCGTCCTAGCGTCCTAACGTCTTGTTGATATCAATAGGACGCCAGGACGCTGCATCTAAGGAAGAGAATTATCTCTATTGATGACACATATTTCTCTATATAGTAAACAGCGTCCTAGCGTCCTAGCGTCCTAACGTCTTGTTGATATCAATAGGACGCCAGGACGCTGCATCTAAGGAAGAGAATTATCTCTATTGATGACACATATTTCTCTCGATTTTAATTTGATTGTATGTAATGACGTTCATTATTTTCTTGCAGTCATATATTGATCGTCAGTTCAATGAAAAAAAATTCTGTGTTGA